ATGGCCAATCGCTGCACCTCCCCTCCCCCCCCAAGCCCCACATTAGCTGTGTCTAATAATAGCCTATATCGTTGTAGCATAGCACCCAACAATATTGGCCAAGGTCCTGCCAACGCTGGCCTGGGGGGCCAACGGGCTATCTCTGGATCTGGATGGTAGGACACCAAGCATGCCATGCACGTACGTGAGGCCATTGAACCCACAACCACCTCCACCACCCAGTTCTTGTTTTTTTCTTTTTTTTTCACCCAGTTTTTGTTGCCGAACCCTGAGCCGGGCCAGTCTCCCAACCAAACCTGCTAGGGTACAAAAGTGGGTACCCCCTCCCCCTCCGCCCCCCCCCCTCCGCCCCCTCCCCGGCGGATTTCACGTGGGCCTCCAGGTAGGCCGCGGAAGTCGTGGAAATGCAAACTACCGGTAGCGTTTGCCAGTAGCCCGCGGGGGGGTACTGCGCTCGAAAGGCATCTCCGTCACGAGGCGATATCGGTGGCCGCCTCCCTCCCGCCCAGGACTTCCGCCCTTCCGCCCTTCCGCCCGAGTGTGTCTGAGTTGCGAGTGTATCTTGACCTAGAGGGTGCGAAGATGCACATCCCTTTTACGAAAAGGTGGAAAGATGCACATTCCCTTTTACTTTTATTTTCGTCTTTTTACGCATTTGTTGGCGGTTGCTGCAGTGATACGCCAGCTGGGCGGCGTCGGTGGTGTTCTATCTCGTCTCGTCGACCAGCAGAGCATCCGTGGCGGCTGAGGGCGTACTCATACTCAAAGGCGTGGATGAATCTGACCGCAATCACGTCCAGAGCTTTGCGAACGTAAGGGTGGGGAGAAGAGGGTCTTGGGGGAGGGGGGGCGTTATGTCGAGTCGTGGGTAAGCGCGCTAACCACGGTAGTCGACGAAGTACGATCCATTGACGGGCGAGCTGGACCTTCCTCTCTCTTTCTCTCTCTCTCTGTCTCTGTCTCTCTCTTTCTCTCTCTTTCTCTCTCTGTCTCTGTCTCTCTCTCTCTCTGTGTGGATGTGCGGCTAGGGTGTTGTACAGGAGAACGAAGTCATTGTTCTGCTGGAGTTTGCTGGCGGCTGGAAGGCAACAGAGAACACACGGTACGTGTGTTCTTCAACTTTCTTCCTCCTCGACCGTGCGATTGCAATTGGGATCTCCGGCAAAGCATCCGTTGATCGGTAGATTGACATCTGGACAGTGACATCTGGACAGTCTGTCTGCGTAGATTGTTGGCGCGCATCTCCTTGTCGTCGGGAAGAATGGCCATGATCGGACGTGCGCTGCAGCGGTTGATAGCATCTCCCGCCATCGCCGGCGATGCAGCGAGGACAACTGCGGCTGCGGCAGGTTGGTACCGATCCCGACTCTCTGTGTGTGCATTGTTGTGGGGGGGGGGGTAAGGGGAGATATATATCTGTTTGTGACGATATATATCTATATGTATATAACGTCACAAACAGAACTGCCCGGTAAACCGTAGGCAGAGAGAGAGAAGAGGACAACAAACGAGGGGCTGTGACAATATATATATATATATATATATCGTCAAATAGAACTGCCCGGTAAACCGTAGGCAGAGAGGGAGAAGAGGATATATATATATATATATAGAGAGAGAGAGAGAGAGAGAGAGAGAGAGAGAGAGAGAGAGAGCGGTGGGATTCGCCTTTTTCCTGTTTGTTCGGTTGAATTCCACAGTGCCTTCGTGGGGTCTCGTTCTTGCCATCTGACTGCTTAGCGTGTATATCTCTCACTTCTCCTCCCCTCCTATACTTCCCCCCCCCCCCCCCCCCCCCCC